TTTTTATGACTCTGTGTCTTTTGATGCACGTCTTAGTGTCATCCACATAGCTTGTACTCCATGCTCCGCAATGTCTGGTAAACCATTCGTCTGCATCTTGTGAGACCATCATGTAGGTGTCTGGTGTGCACGTGCTAACCTTTAGGTATCGACACACACTGATGATACACGGCTAATGTGGTCTACACGTCTCAATGCGAAAAGATTCGACGTATCCTTGCTCCTCGCTGCAAGAATACCACGTCCATAAGCTGCCGAAGGGGAGCACAGTGTTTCCGTGAGCGGGCACTTCACTATCTTGTCCGAGGCACTATCGATGAATACTCTCATGGTTGGCCGGCCTTATCCTGACCAGAGCATTTGCGGTATGAGCTACGGTGATAATGGTTCACATAGTCCACCCTGCCCGTTTATCTTCAGCCCCACAAGCACGCACCGCCATTTGTACCATAGCCCGGTTCGTTTGATATACAGATCCTGCGGACCAGCTGGGGCTGATGACGAGAACCAGCCAGCGACTAGGCATTCGATGAAGTCATTGGCCCAGCGGCTCATGGCCTTATAGCCATCCGAGTATCCCGGACGGTTGATATTTGCCCACAGTCCAGAGAGCGCCTGGGCCTCCAGGGTGGGACGGAGCATCTTGAAACCGGTGTTCATCAGGCTCGATGGCAGGCCGTTATACCGCTGCACGATCAGATCGGCGGGAAAGTGCGGGTCGTTCAGCCATGTTCGAAACAGGCCGCCCTCCTCGAAGTTGATGGGAGCGACCACGGCGACAAAATTTCGCACAGGGGAGTCCGGGTTGAGCGCGAGGTAGCAGGAACTGATGGTCCCGCCGAGGCAGAGCCCGTTCAGCGTGAGCTCCTGCGCGCCAGAGGTTTCTAGGGCCCGGTCGATGGCACGCGGCAGGATTTTCAGGACGGCTTCCTCGAATCCCAGCTCCTTGTCCTCCTCGGCAATCTCGCCCCAGTCCAGCAGGTAGACATCGTGGCCATGGTCGACCAGGTACTCAATCATGCTGGCACCGGGCATCAGGTCGAGTACGTATGGGCGGCTGATGCCCAGCCAGGGGACGATGAGGTAGGGTGCTGGATGGGCGATGGGCGTTTCCATCGAATGGTACCGGTAGAGGCGCGTCTTGCCTCTTTTCCAGATGATTTCTCGGTGAGTAAGCGCCATTGGCGGGTCGGCGGGATTGACGACAAAGGCGTCGACGATAGCCTGGACCCTCTCCATATTTTTTTGCGCTTCTTCCTGCAATTTGGAAGCGTATTCAGCAGAGCTGACCACAAGCAACTCCTAACTTTTCTTGGCGTTGACGGTCTCCAGAGACCAGTCGATCAGGGCTCCGTTGTATTTCACTGCGTCCTTCACCACTTTTTGACCGGACTCCATGGCCTTGGCGCTGCTCTGCATCAGGGTTTTCGATGCCGCGCTGCGTCGTTCCTCGACGCCGGTGAAGTACTGCATCCACGCTTGGGTCCAGGACTGGTAAAAAGCCAGCTCACTCTCGACTATCTTGCCTACTGATTCCTTGGATTCAGGGTTTACTGACGGAATGCCTGTCGCTGGTATGGACCCCATTCCCTGGAAGATGGTGGGAAACAGGGCGAACAGGGTCTCGCCGCGTTTGCGGGCCTGGCCTGCTGCCTCTTCCCAGACCTTCCCGTACTCGGTCCGTTCTGTCTGCACCGCATCGGTCATCAGCTTCACCGCAGCCGTAGACTGCGCCATTCCGGCGTCCATGGCCGCGATTCCGCTCGAAACGGCCTGGTTGTACGCCTGTACCAGTTCCTCGACACCGTTGGTTTTATTTTATGCCATTTGTAGTCCTCCTTTGCTATTGAGATTCTGTCCGGGACTGAAAGTCAGCGGAGGCAGTCTAATTTGCCTCCGCTGTAGGGTCAGGTTGAGGGCGAACTGCCTCTGTCGAATTCGTCCGTATAATCGGGGACCTTGGAATCAGAGACCTCGGAATCTGATTCCTCCACCGTCGCTGATGGGGGCGCAAAGCCGAACACACTGCGCGTAAAGATCGAAAAATCCGGTAATCATCCGCTGGTAACCCGACACCACGTCTGTCCAGCCGCGCAGCATATCCTCCCCGCCGCCGATGTGATGCTGTACACTCGTCTGGCAGGACCGCTTCCGCTGGTCTCCCACTCCGACGCCACGTACCCTTCCTTTTCCAGGCGACGCAACTCCCGGTACAGGGTGGCGTGGTCCACATCAGCAAAGCCCATCTGGTTGAGCTGCTGCAAAATCAGGTAGCCGTGCAGGTTCCACTGCTTTAACACCAGCAGTACCCACGGGGTCATGAAATTCTTGGGCAGCCTCGCACCGCCAAAAGCGCTGAAATCTTGCATGTATGTACATTTATCACATAGATGATTAAAATGCAAGCGACCAGTTCAGCTTCCCAGGATAGGCGACACAATCTGACAGCAAGTTAATGTCTGAGCACTACGAGCGAAATACACCGTAAAGATTACGCCATTGCCGAATGAGCTGACTTGAAAAATACACTCAACATACTCAAGGAGCACGAAACTAATATGCCAGAGGTAACATCGTACGCCCCGGGAACCCCTTCCTGGGCCGAACTGTCAACTACCGATGAGGCCGGTGCCCTGTCCTTTTACAGCGCACTCTTCGGCTGGGTGGACAACCCCCAGGAGATGGCCCCCAACTCCTACTACCACATGCAGACAATAAACGACCTGCCCGCCTGCGCTATGTATCAGCAGGGCGAGGAAGAGCGCAGCCAGAATGTGCCGCCCCACTGGAACATCTACTTCACTGTGGAAAACGTCGATCAGACCATGGCCACCATCGGCCAGCACGGTGGACAGGTGGTGTTCGGGCCGCACGACGTGTTCGAGGCAGGGCGCATGGCCATGTGCCAGGACCCCCAGGGCGCCTTCTTTGCCATCTGGCAACCCAATCAGCACATCGGCGCCCGCATCAAGCATGATTCTGGCGCCATGTTCTGGCACGAGTTGCTGACAACCGACCGGGCGGCTGGGCTGGAGTTTTACAAGGCAGCCCTCGGCCTCGAGCAGTTCCAGGTGCCTGAATCCGCTATGGACTACACCATGCTCCGTGCTGGCGGCACCGAGGTTGCCGGTGTAATGCAGATCACTCCCGAAATGGGGGAATTCCCGCCCCATTGGACGGTCTATTTCGGCGTTGAAAACGCCGACGAGGCCGTCGCCAAGGCTCAGTCACTGGGCGCGACGGTCTATGTCCCCGCCACCGACATTGTCCTGTTCGAGGGTCAGCCGCCCATCGGCCGCTTTGCGGCTCTCGGCGACCCGCAGGGCGCTGCTTTCAGCGTTTTCCAGGACATCCCTCCGGCGCCTCAGGGATAGCCGAATCGGAGGATTCCACGGCCCCTGTTCTCAGCGAAACACGCCGCGTGGCGAATTCTGCGTTACCTCTGCCCTCTCCTATGCTGGAGAGGGCAGTTTTGTTTTCCCTTCATGCAGCAGGTACAATCACGGCACACCCCTGTTAATTCAATCAGCAATGGGAGGCAGCATGACCAGCGCCACCACCCTCAAGGAACTACAGGATTCCGCCCTTGAACATCTTTGGGTCTACCTACGGGAGCCCAGCGACATGGCCGAGAAGGGCGAACCCACCGTCTATGTATCGGGTGAGGGAGTGCGCGTCACTGACTCCCAGGGCAACACCTCGATCGACGCCATGTCGGGACTCTGGCTGAAGAACGTGGGCTACGGCCGTAAGGAAATCGCCGACGCCGCTTATGAGCAGATGCTCAAGCTGACCTATATGCCCATGGGCACCACCACCGAGCCGACCATCCGACTCGCCGAGAAAATCGCCGAGATCACTCCCGGGGACCTGTCCCGCTCCTTCTTCACCAGCGGAGGCTCCGAGTCTATTGAGACCGCCATCAAGCTCGCCCGCGCTTATTTCAAGCGTGTCGGCGAACCCGGACGCATCAAGTTCATCAGCCGCAAGGACTCCTACCACGGCGCCACTGCCGGCGCCATGGCACTGGGTGGAAATCATCTCTACCCCCGGGCTGACTACGAACCCCTGATGCCCGGCACCTTCCACGTGCCGCAACCCAACTTCTACCGCTGCGAGTACAACAGCCAGACTCCCGAGGAATGCGGCGAGCGCAATGTTAAGGCCATCGAGGACACCATCAAGTTCCAGGGCCCTGAGACCGTCGCCGCCGTGTTCGCCGAGCCGGTGTCCAGCCCCATGGGCGCCGTGGTACCTCCCGACAACTACTGGCCCATGCTACGTGAGGTCTGCGACAAGTACGGCGTCCTGCTCATCGCCGACGAGGTCATTACCGGGTTCGGACGCACCGGCAAAATGTTCGCCTGCGAGCACTGGGGCGTCACCCCCGACATGATGACTGTGGCCAAGGGCATCACCAGCGGTTACATCCCCATGGGCGGCACCATCACGCGGAAGGAGATCGCCGACGCTTTCGTAGGGAGCCAGCGGGTCAGTTTCCGCCACGTCATCACCTTCGGCGGCCACCCGGTGGCGGCGGCGGCGGCACTGCGCAACATACAGATCATGGAGGACGAGGACATGGTGGGTAACTCGGCCCGCCAGGGAGCCTACCTGCTGGACGGTCTCAAGGAACTGCAGGAGAAGCACCCAATGATCGGCGTCGTCCGCGGGCTGGGCCTGATGTGCGGCATGGAGCTGGTAAAGGATCGCGAGACCAAGGAGACCTACCCCGCCGAAGCCGAGTTGGGCAGCCGCTTGACCTCGGCTTTCCAGGCCAACGGCCTCCACCTCCGCGGCAGCGACAACATGAACGTCGCCCCTCCACTGTGCGTAACGTCCGGCGAGATAGACGAGATCGTCTCTGGCATGGACCGCGCCTTCACCCAGGTAGGCCGCGAACTGGCCTAGTGCCCCGGTTCCCTCGGCTACTCAAGAGCCCTCTCCAGTTCGGAGAGCGGCTCTCGGCTCTTGCTATGATCAGTGTTTCAAGTCGGGAACTAGGGGAGCCATACCAGAGCTACACACGCGCACGCCATGTGTTAGGGATACCGCCTACCGAGGGATATGCGATCGATACGAGTGACCAGCACGCATCAGCCATCGAGACATCCGCTCGCCGCAATCAGCATCCGTCTCGAAGATCCTGATGGTAGCGGAGCCAGAAGACGATGCCGTCTTTCGCCATGGCGGTGGCGAAAGTTCGATGTTAAGAGCTCGATGAACTCATACCTCTCTACAGCATCCAGTGCCTTTTCCAGATCAGGTGCTGGGGAGAGTCGTCCAGACACCAGCTTGATGGCTATTTCCCATATACTCACAGCACTGACGAAGATCTCGTTGCCTAGGTCATTGACGGCATTGTAGGTGTCGGCGCGCAGTCGCCCTCCGCCCTCCGCAACCCAGAGGAGAGAATGAGTATCTAGCAGAAGTCGTTGGACCATTTCCCTTCAAAGGCATCCATGATTTCTTGGGAGGTTTCCGGGAGGTCGGAGGCGACCCAGGTCTTTCCCTTGTCGGGGCTAATCCCCCTGGTTCCCCGCCGTTCGATGGAAGGAGAACCGTCAGGGTGGGCAACCAGCCTAAGGTAAGGCTGGCCCTTTGTGGTAATGATTACATCTTCGCCGTCTATCCAGGCCACCCGACCGAGATATTCCAGCAACCCCTTGGCCTGATCAAGTTCTATTTCCATAGGGCGCTCCGGATACTGAGCGTGTTGATTCTACTTTACACCATCGAAGCGAAGATCTCGGCCAGCCGACGGACGCGGTCCGGGTCAATCGGTTTGGTTACGATGCCATCGGTCTTCAGGCTTGTTCCAACTATGGCGCCGTCGGCATGCTCCATGACCCGCCACACGTTTTGCTCGTTGATGCCGCTGCCCACCAGCACGAAGCCGTCTGGTACGGCCCGGCGCACCACCGACACGTCGAAGCTGTTGGTGGGCCGCCCCGTGGCCTGTCCCGAGACGATGAGCCCGTCGGCCAGTGCTCTCCGGGTCGTTTCCTGCGCCACCAGTCCTATGTCGCTCTGGCCCATGGGCTCGGCGTGCTTCACCAGCACGTCCGCCAGAATCTGCACGTCGGCGTTCAGCGAGCGGCGCCTGCGCGTTGTCTCGTGCGCCTCTCCCTCAACGATGCCCTCGTCAGTGGCCATCACTCCGTAGTGCACGTTGACCCGGATGAACTCGCAGCCCGTGGCCACCGCCACTGCAAGGGCCGAAATCGCATCGTTCCGCAGCATATTTATCCCCACAGGGATCGAAACGGAAGCGCGAACTGTCCTCCAGCGCCAGGGTCATGGCCGCCACGGTCTCCGGCTCGACCCGACCGGTGCGAAAGGGCGCGTCGCCGAAATTCTCGACTATGAGTCCCTGGGCGCCCCCGTCCTGCAGGATGCCCGCCTCCACCTTGGCCCTGTTGATCACGGATTTCAAATTGCCGTTCCATCTTGGAGAGCCGGGTAGCGGAAGCAAGTGGATTACGCCGATCAGTACCTTTCCCTTCCCAAACAATTCCCGCGCCATATACCAATCCGCCCGTCAAAAAATGCGCCCGTGGTGTGTTAAAAGACGACTGGTTATTCCGGCGAAAGCCTGTCGCCGCAACCAACGGTTTCGCAATATGTCATGCACAGATTAATCCGCAGAAGCCCGCGTTTCAATGGAAAAATGGAGTATATTAATACCCTTTATTTGTAACAACAGGAACACAGGCGGCTGGCCGGGCTATCTCAATTAATTGTCTTGGTGACATTTCCCACTTGCCAAGCCTCATGGCGACCTCATACCATGTTCCTTAATGTCCTGTTTTGGATGCTGGCATGAGAAGCCTCAGAGATTTCCCGAGTCGCGAAAGAGACCTGGATGGCAACCCCTACTATCCCGCAGAATCGCATAAATGGCAGGGAATGGCAGGGAAATCATGCGGAGGGTGTCATACCAGCGTCCCTGGAGAAGACCGCGTCGCCCCGGTGACTGGGCCGGCCGATTAACCCGAAAGAGTCCGACGGGAAACAGGCGGTTCCCCTCCGCCGTCCCTCGACAAGTCGGCATCGCCCTCGCTATCTGGCCGCCCCAAGAATCCGACAGAAAACCAGGGGATCTCCGATAACCGTCTCCCGAAAAATGCTGCGCTCCCTCGCCGGAACACTTGATCACCGCAGCGCATCCCGACAGGCCAATGATTGCGGTTTTCGTCCCTCCGATGCTTAACCCTGGTTCAGTGATTCCATCGGTGCTTCTCTTGGGCGCATAGCCGCTGACGGTGCTAAAATTATGTTCGATGCTTGGGCGGGAGGGACACTCACGAATGCCGCAGGATTTCATTCACGTCAAGGGTGCTCGGGAACATAATCTCAAGAACATCGAGATCACCGTGCCCCGCGACAAGTTGGTGGTCATCACCGGCGTCTCCGGATCCGGCAAGAGCTCGCTGGCCTTCGACACAATCTACGCCGAAGGGCAGCGCCGCTACGTCGAGTCGCTGTCGGCCTACGCCCGGCAGTTCCTGGGGCGGATGGACAAGCCCGACGTCGACTACATCGAGGGCCTGTCTCCGGCCATCTCCATCGACCAGAAGGGCGTCTCCCACAACCCCCGCTCCACCGTGGGCACCGTGACCGAGATCTACGACTACCTGCGCCTGCTCTTCGCCCGCGTCGGCATCCCCCACTGCCCCAAGTGCGACAGCCCCGTGGCGCGCCAGACCGTCTCCCAGATCGTGGACTCCATCATGTCCCTGGAGGAGGGCAGCCGCATCACGCTGCTGGCCCCCAAGATTCGCCGCAAGAAGGGCGAGCACAAGGACGTCCTCGAGGCTGCCCGCAGGGCCGGCTTCGTCCGCATCCGCGTCAACGGCGAAATCAGGATGCTGGACGAGACGGACGACCTGAACCTCAACAAGAACAAGTGGCACTACATCGAGCTGGTGGTGGACCGGCTCATCGTCCGCCCCGAGACCGAGTTGGCCCGGGTGGCCGAGTCGGTCGAGACCTGCCTGCGCGAGGGCGAGGGCGTTGTCGAAGTGCTGCGTGAGTCCTCCGAAGGTGGCGACAGCGAGACGCTGGTATTCTCCGAGCAGTTCGCCTGCGCCAAGTGCAACGTCAGCCTGCCCGAGATCGAGCCGCGCACCTTCAGCTTCAACAGCCCCCACGGTGCCTGCTCCGAATGTACCGGCCTGGGTTACAAGCTGGCCGTCGACCCCGAGCTGGTCATCCCAAACAAGAACCTGTCGCTGTCCCAGGGCGCCATCACTCCATGGGTGCGGGTCGGCACCTCCGGCGCCTGGTACATCAGCCTGATGGAGGCGGTGGCAGAGGCCAACGGATTCTCCGCCAAGGTCCCTGTCCGGGAGATGGACCCCGAGCATGTTGATCTCATCCTCTACGGCAGCGGCAAGCAGAAGGTAACGGTCAGCCACCGCACCCATCGTGGCCGCACCTACAGCTGGGACACCAACTTCGAGGGCGTCAGTCCACAACCTGGAGCGTCGGTACAAGACCACTGAATCAGACTACTCCCGCTCCCAGATCGAGCGCTACATGTCGGCCCGCCCCTGCCGCTCCTGCGGCGGCAAGCGGCTGCGGCCCGAGGCCCTGGCGGTGCGGGTCTGCGGACTCGGCATCATGGACGTCTGCGCCAAGAACATCGGCGCCGCCGCCGAGTGGGTCGAGCAGATAGACCCCGACTCCGAGTACAACCGCAACGGCGTCAGTGCAGTTCACGTTAACGGCACCGACGCACCAGCCACCAACGGCCATAAAACCGGCCGGCGCAACGGAGCCAAGAACGGCCGGAAGTCCTCAAAGAACGGAGCGGCGGCAGCCCCGCAGGTTCTCTCGGCCCGCGACAAGACCATCGCCAACCAGGTACTTAAGGAAATCGACGGCCGTGTGAAGTTCCTCATGGGTATCGGCCTGGACTACGTCACCATGGACCGCACCGCGCAGACCCTTTCCGGCGGCGAGGCCCAGCGGTGCGGCTGGCGACGCAGATCGGCTCCGGCCTGACCGGAGTGCTGTACGTCTGCGACGAGCCGACCGTCGGCCTGCACCCCCACGACGACCAGCGGCTGATCAACACGCTGACCCGGCTGCGCGACATGGGCAACACGGTGCTCGTCGTGGAGCACGACGAGGCGATGATGCGCTCCGCCGATTTCATCGCTGACCTTGGCCCCCGTGCCGGTGAGCACGGCGGTCAGGTTGTTGCAGTGGGAACGGTGGAGGACATCGAGAACTCCCCCGACTCGCTCACCGGCCAGTACCTCAGCGGGCGCAAGCAGGTGCCCACCCCCGAACAGCGGCGCGAGGGCAACGGCCTCTCCCTGACCGTCACCGGCGCCCGCGAGAACAACCTGCAGGGTATAGACGTGGAGTTCCCGCTGGGCCGGCTGGTGTGCATCACCGGCGTTTCCGGCTCCGGCAAGAGCAGCCTGGTCTACGAGATCCTGTACAAGAAACTGAACCAGCGCATCAACAACGGCCGCGACCTGCCCGGCAAGCACGACGACCTCGTCGGCATCGAGGGCGTGGACAAGGTGGTCAAGATCGACCAGTCCCCCATCGGCCGCACTCCGCGCAGCAACCCGGCCACCTACACCGGCGCCTTCACCCCCATCCGCGAGCTGTTCGCCAACCTGCCGGAGTCGAGGGTGCGCGGCTACAAGCCGGGGCGGTTCTCGTTCAACGTCAAGGGTGGACGCTGCGAGGCCTGCCAGGGCGAGGGCTACAACCAGATCGAGATGCAGTTCCTGCCCCGACGTCACCGTCCCCTGCGAGATCTGCCACGGCCTCCGCTACAACCGCGAGGCGCTGGAAGTGACCATGCGCGGCAAGCACATCGCCGACGTGCTGAACATGACGGTGGATACCGCGTTCGAGTTCTTCATCAACTTCCCGCGCATCGCCCCAAGCTGGAGACCCTGCGCGACGTGGGCCTCGGCTACATCCGCCTCGGCCAGCCCGCCACCACGCTGTCGGGAGGAGAGGCCCAGCGCGTCAAGCTGGCCACCGAGCTGTCCAAGCGGGCCACCGGCAAGACGGTCTACCTGCTGGACGAGCCGACCACCGGCCTGTCCTTCGAGGACTGCGCCGCCCTGCTGGGCGTGCTGCACCGCCTGGTGGACGGTGGCAATACGGTGATCCTGATCGAGCACAACATCGACGTGATGAAGAACGCCGACTGGCTGATCGACCTCGGCCCCGGCGCCGGAGACAAGGGCGGCGAGCTCATCGCCACCGGCACCCCCGAGGAACTGGCCGAGCACCCCAGCAGCGTCACCGCCCCCTACCTAAAGGCCGCGCTGCAACAGAACCGCACCAACGCTGCACAGCACCCACCGGTCGAGGCAGAGGAGCTGGCGTCAGTCGTCTAACCCACGGACAGCTACAATGGAGTGGACGAACTGGACGTGGGACCCTGAAAAGAACCGTGAGAATATTCGGAAGCACCGCGTTAGCTTCGAGACCGCGCTGTTGGTATTTGACGATCAAGAAAGAGCCGCAAGAGAAGATGATTACCAGTACGAGGAGCGCTGGCAAACCATCAGAACGGTCGAAAGAGTGTTTATAATTGTTATCCACACCCTGTAGACTGGGGACGGCCAACTGGGACGGATTATTAGCGCTCGCCAAGCACTTTTGTACGAAAGGAGAAGGTATCAGGAGGGAACGTGGTCAAGCTGAGCGAGAAACAGAAGAGCGAGCTAGAGGCTCTAAGGAATATGCCCGACCATGAAATCGACTTGTCCGACATCCCGGAAATCACCGATTGGTCAGGGTTCAAAATAGCTCCGTTCTACCGTCCAATATGGAAGGATTTCTGCCTTAAGCTGGACGAATTTTCCCTGAACTACTTGGAGAATGGACTGACTGGCGGGCAGTCGCTGGACGAAGCAGTCAATCGGGCCCTCAGGGCTCAGATGTACCGCATTCGGTTCCCCGTTAGGGTACAAAAGGCGGGGAAGACCATCCTACGGGTCCAAAAGTCGCCGGATGATATTGCTGGACTGACCGATTTTCAGAAGAAGCAGATCGAAATCCTCTATGGTATGCCTGTTGAGCTAGTAGCTTCATTCCACGAAGTGATCACGCGGGAAAAGATCGAAGGACTGGGCCGCGGGGTCAAAAAGGATGTGCGCCTCAAACTGGACGAAAACATCATTGACTGTTTCGAGGAAAGGCTGGAGGATGGTCAGTCGCTGGTCGAGGCACTTAACCAAGCGCTGATGGACCACATCAACTGGGTAAGTTCCCCACGGGGAGCGCAGCAGGAAGAAGAACCGGCAGGAAAGGCCGGGGATTCAGCATAGCCGACTGCCCTCTGGCCAAACAACTGACCTCAGGACCTAGCGACTCCCCCTCGATGTCGAGAGGGAGTTTCTGGTTCTACAGCTTAAGCAGTCCAGTCAGTGTCTTCTGCCCCCCCTGCGGTCCCACCAGGGCCAGGCGCAGCTGGTCCTGCTGGAACAGTCGCGTGGCAAGGGCCGAGATGTCCGCGGGAGTGACCTCGCGGAGACGGCCTACGATTTCCTCGACTGAGCAGAGTTGCTCCTGCAGCAGTTCCTGCGATCCCATCCACGACGCAACGGACCGGCTGTCCTCCATGCGCAGTAGCAGGCGGCCCGTTGCGTACTCCCGGGCCTTGTTCAGCTCCCGGTCCTCGGCCTCTACTCTCATGCCGTCGAGTTGGTGCATCACGGCACGGACGGCGTCGTTGGTCTTGCGCGGCTCCACCCCGCAGTACACCACCATCGAGCCGCAGTCACGGAAGTGGTTAATGGAACTGCTAACGTCGTATGCCAGGCCGCGGGTCTCGCGCAGGTCCATGAAAAGGCGGCTGCTCATGCCGTCGCCCAGGATCACGTTGAGCAGGCTCAGCGCGTACCGGTCGGGATCGTTCAGCGATAGGCCTGGCAGCGCCAGGCACAGGTGCGACTGATCCGAGCGGCGTCGCTCAATCTTCACCACTGGGCCGGTTGGGCCGCTCTCCGAGACCGGTTCCCACTCCATGGAGGCCTGTGGCTTCCAGTCGTGGGTGGTGTCTTCCAGCAGGTCGACAACCTCTTCGTGGGTAACGTTGCCCGCCACCGCCACTACGGTGTTGGCCGGATTGTACTGCCGCATCATGTATTCGCGAATGGTCTCCTGATCAATGGCGGCCACCGTGTCCGGAGTGCCGCCCACGTCGCGGCCCATGGCCTGGTCGGGCCACAGCGCTTCGTCAATCAGCAGGTCTACGCGGTAGGAGGGGTTGTCGTAGGTCATCCGCAGTTCTTCCTGGATGACCTCCCGTTCCTTTTCCACCTCCTCCGGTTCCAGCAGCGGGTTCATCAGCATATCCAGCAGCACGGCGAATGCGGTGCGGAAATGGGGCCGCGCCACCTTGCACCAGAACACGGTCACCTCGCGGTCCGTGCTGGCGTTCATAATGCCGCCCACGCCCTCGATGGCCTCGCTCACCGCACCCGCCGTAGGCCATTTCTCGCTGCCCTTGAATGGCAGGTGCTCAATGAAATGCGATACCCCGGCCAGCTCCGGCGTCTCGTACCGTGAGCCGGCCCCCGACAAAGATCGTGATGGATACAGACTGCGTGTGCTCCATCATCGATGTTACGACGCGAAGCTTGTTGTCGAGGACGGTGCGTTGGAACATTCTCACTCCATTGATGTTAGCAATACCCGTGGAGGGGCGCACAGCTGCGCGCCCCTGGACTGACAGATTATCGTAAAGCCGGCATTGGTACCCTACCCCTAATTCCCGCGCAGGGAACGTCGCCCTCGCGAAAGCGGGGGTGGGAATCCGGGGATCATAGCCGCCAAACCAGCGAGTGCTCCCGGCATCTGCCTGCCTTGAGCTGGGTTATGGGAGCAGTGAGTAACCAGTGACTAGCTGCCCAGCCAGTCTACGTCGCCGAACTGGTCGGCGGGATGGGACTTGGAGGCGTAGACAGCGTGGCGGCGCTTGGCCTCGGCGATGGTGGTGTCGTCGCCGTGGCCGGGGTAGACCTGGGTGTCGTCCGACAGGGTCAGCAGCTTGGACTGGATGCTCTCCAGGATGGTCGCCAAGGCCTCGGGGCTGCGGCTCTTGCCCGGACCACCGGGGAACAGGGTGTCGCCGGAGAACAGGTGATTGCCCACCAGGAAGCAACTGGCGCCGTCGGTGTGGCCGGGGGTCACCAGCACCTTGAGTTCCCGGTTGCCGAAGGGTATGACCTGCCCGTCGGTCAGCTCTACATCCGGGGCCTTGGGCAGCGGGCCCTTGTCGGCGGTGGTGATGCCCACCGGGGGCGTCCAGGCTGCCAGTGATCTCGTTGAATCCGTTAAGATGGTCCTGGTGATTGTGGGTGATCAGGATGGCCTTGATGCTGACGTCACCCACCTCGTTGAGCAGCAGTTCCGGCTCCTCTGGTGTGTCGATCAGGATTCCCTCGTTGGTCTCGGGACAGGAAACGATGTAGCCGTTGTTCATGAATCGGCCCATGTTCACCTTGACGATGCGAACTTCGCCGTCGTAATGCAAAGCCATAATCTCTCCTCCGGTGGGGAATCTATATTCGAAATCTGATTTTGTTCGTCTCGAAGTATTCTAGCAGAGCGTGGTGGAGTCCGCCGACCGGTTGATCGGCCTCCGTCGCCGTCGCCGTCGGCGACGCGAGCTGAATCCGCTGACAGGTGGCTGTTCGGACGTGGGCTCGCCGCCCTCGCCGTCGGGGCGAACGTCCTCGCCGGGCTCACCGGCCACCGGCGCTTGGGCCGCTCCTTCGTCCTCTGTCTCAGTAGGCGGTGGGCCGTAATGAGCGCGATGAGCCGTCCACTGCACCTGGGTCAGCAAGGTCAGTAGTATTCCAGGGCACAAAAATGAACAGGTTGCGAACTCCACCCTCCTGGACCCAACGGACCGAGAGCACCACCGAGGCGATCATGATGAACCACGCGATCCCGCCAACCAGGATACCCCGGAAGCCCTCACCGCTGTGCCAGGGGGACCGCAGCGTGAGCACCGACCAGGCAGGTGGAAAAATGAAGAGGCCGTAGTAGATCTCCGGACGGTAGAACCAGGGCCGGGGATATTCTGAGAGGTCTCGTTTCGGTTCGGAGGCCATTTGTGTGCGGGATATCCTCAGGTGGTTAAGCTCAGTTCCTGGCCAACAGCATCTGGAACTCGATCTCCGGAATCTCCCTCCGCTCCCGGATCGAGGCGACTGCATACTCGGTACATAGCCGCGCGAACCCGGAATACTGGAAGATGTTGTTCCCCATGACTACGACGGGCACTTCACGGTCGAAGTCCACTCCCAGCTGCCCGCCATCGTCCTCGTCGATGCGCAACTCGATGTCGCGCCCCGTGAGTCGCTCGATCTTCTCTTGAATACGGTCGATAAAATCCTGATCGTTCAAGCAACGCTCCTGTGTCTCAGCGTCGGGTATTGGCTCGGCGAACGGAGAAGCTCGCGCCGTCTTTCTGCTTGCTGGCCCATTTCAGGTATCCGGCAAACTGCGGGTCCGCCCTCAGCCGCTCGATGGAGTTCAGTTCGTTGGCCAGCGTCTTCTCGGAAAACATCGCGTGCAGTTGCCGGTGGCATGTGGGGCAGAGCCGCGCCTTCGGTCCATGCTTGCCGCCCCGTGAGCGCGGCACCAAGTGGTGCTCGGTGAACCGCACTGACTCCCGGAGGCAAAGCTCGCAGGCTGGCGGCTCCTCATAGGAGCGCGGCCCGTCTGCAGTAGCTACTGCTCCACGGCGGCGAGTTGCCACTTGCCCTCCTACTCCTGCTCCTTGGCCTTGGGGTCATCTGCGTTCGGATTCTCCATGAACCTCCACCCAGGCAGATCGATCCTCCACTCGCCGTCTTCCATCAGCATGGGCAGGATCAGGCCGTTCATCGCGCGACCGCGACGCACCTCCGTGTTGTCCTCCGTGATCCCAAAGGGCAGGAAGGCAAAGGCATGCTCGTCGTCCACGTAGCTGGTGGGAGAGATGCCCAGGTCCGTCAGGTCTTCCAGCGGCCAGAGGCCAAGCACGGTCGTGCGGAAGTCCTCCAGCATCGCTTCCCGCATCGGGTGCCCCTGGTTGTAACCCGCGCGGTAAGCCACCTGCATGTCGATGCGGTACCGCGTGGCCCACACGCCCATCCGCATCCCTCTGGTTTCCTTGGACAGCAGCGACCAGGCCAGGTCCATGTCCCCGTCGCGCATCGCCTCGGCGAACATGCCGGCCCGGTTGCCGCACTCGTCGGGGAAGGGGCTCCGTTTCTCGCCGGGTATCCGCATTAACTACCTCTCGGACGAGCGGGTAAATTGTCAGTCAAATCCGTCGGTCCCGAGTCCGTCGAAGGATGAACGGATTTCCCTGGTTGGCAGCGGTCCATCCATGACCCAACCGCCCGTCCGTCAAAAACGAGGACGTACGGTTGCTGCTCCTTCCCCTAGTCTACCAGCCGATGACGTAACCGTCGCGCCGTGGGTCCGCGGCGCCCTGCAACGCGCTAAGCCCGGAGGCGCCGGTTTCCTCGTCCACCTTGATCATCATCTCGCTGCCCGACGCGCCCCAGCCATGCATCACTTCCAGAGTATGCCCACGCTGCCGCAGGCCGTCCAACGTCTCGGCGGGGAACCGCGACTCCACGTACAGCAGGTTCTCGCACTCGTGGGGAATGTTGGACTCCGTTGGGCTGTGTGTGTTGCGCCAGCGCGGTGCCTCCACCGCCTCCGCCACCGTCATTCCAAAGTCCAGAACGTGGGTGATGACCTGCATGTTAGTCTGCACCTGCGTGTCGGCGCCTGGAGTGCCGCAGACCAGCGCCAGGCTGCCGTGCCCAGTGCCGCCGTTCCGTGAGCCGCCGTTCTGGAAGGCGTGCTGTGCCTCGCCGGCATCCCGAAAGACCATGATTGGGTTCATGGTGTGGCGCACCCGCTTGCCCGGTTGCAGACAGTCTGGATGGTCGGGGTCGAGGTGCCAGTAGGTCATCCGGTTGTTTAGCAGGATGCCGGTGTCGCCGGCCACGATGCTGGAGCCCAGCGAACTCTGGATGCTCTGTAGCTGGCAGACGGCGTTGCCCCACCTGTCAACCACCACGAAGCAGGTGGTGTCCTCCTCCTGCATCGCCGCCGCCGCAGCGGGCCGGGGCCGTCGCCCGTAGTTGGCCGGCTGGTAGCTCCACGGATCGCCGTGGCTAACATCGGCAGCGGCCCGCTGGGGGTCGATGAGCTTCGCGCGTTCGGCGGCGTACTGCTTCGACAGCATACCGGCGACGGGAACGTCCACCCAGTCGGGGTCGGCCATGTAGGCCTCACGATCGGCGAAGGCCAGCTTCTTGGCCTCCACCATCATGTGGATGCTCTCCGGCGTGTTGCAGCCCAGGGCCTTGAGATCGAACTGCTCGACGATGTTCAGCTCCTGCAGCAGCACATGGCCGCTGGAGTTGGGCGGCGCCTCGTAGACCGTATGGCCGTGGTAGGTGGTGGAGATGGGCGCCTCCCACCGCGAGCGGCAGTCGGCCAGGTCCTTGACCGACAATATCCCACCCTGCTGCTCGCTGAACCTGACGATGGCCCGGGCCGTCTCGCCCTCGTAGAACGCATCGCGCCCGCCTTCGACGATAGCCTGGAACGTCTGCGCGAGCCCCGGTTGCCGGAGTATCTGCCCCGGCCGCATCGGTGCCCCACTGGGGGCGAAGATAGCCTGCGAGTCGGGGAACTCGCACAGCAACCGGTCCCCTGCGATTACCCCGGACAGTACGTGCGTCACTGGGAAGCCGTTCCCGACAGGTCGATGGCCGCGTCGAACACCTCGCCCCGCGACAGCGTTCCATACTTGGCATGGGCCGTCATCCACGCATCTACCAGCCCCGGCACCGACACCGACAGGATCCCCTTGGTCGGTATCCCGTTCTCGCGGAACCAGTCGACATCGGTGGCATACGGTGCGGCCCCGGTCCCGTTGCATACCTCTATGTTGCCCGCCTGCCGATTGTAAATCATGATGAACCCATCGCCGCCAACACCAGACATGTTGGGCTCCACCACGTTCAGCGCGGCAGCGGTGGCGATGGCGGCATCGACGGCGTTGCCGCCCCGTTGCAGCACGGCCATCCCGGCCTGCGCCGCCAGCGGATGCCCGGCCGCAACCATCCCATTCCGCCCCATGACCACCGGCCTATTGGACTCAAAATTCACCCCATGCGGCGTGTGCGGCATCAGGAGTGCCTCCTTTGTATTACTTGTCGCTAGATTGCTATTGCCGATTGAGGTAGGCGAGCAGGCTGGAGCCGCAGTCGATGCGGTCTACCAGCTTTCTCTTGCCGCCGTAGGAAACCGTTCTTGTCTGAATGGCGCGAAGGTCGTTGCCCTTCATTCTGCCTCGAAAGAACAGCAGCGGATACCATTTCTCGATGGTGCGGTTTCGCAAAATTGACCTTGCCAGTTCCAGCCCTCCCTGAATCTGGCTGATTGCCTTCGGGACTTCCGGGTTCCTGCCTCCCTTTAGTTCGGCAGCGCAGATGAAGTCTCCGTTGAGCCGTCCGAAAATCAAGCGGTCGCACAGACGGGTGGCAACCCCATGGCTCTGACACCGTTGGTTCAAGTCTCCACTAATCGTGGCGAGTTCCGAGCTATCCAAGCCAGAGACATCAATTCTGCAATTTGCTTCCGAATACGAGTCGGCCAGGCAACAATCCCCATAGGTGCCGCGGATGCTCTCCGCCATTAGGGAGTTCGCCATCAGTTACGGTCGCGCTGCAACGCTATGGATTCGTCGTATATGGCCTCGAAGACGCTGGCGAATTGGTCCTCGTCAATCCCGGTGTCCGGGTCGATTTCGAGGTCCACGGTCTCGCAGCCGCCCAGCTCCTGGTTGTATCGGAAAAGATATGCGCCAACCTGGTCCGGTTGCAGAAAATCCTCGGCCTCAAAGCCGCCCTGTTCCACCAATTCCGGGCTGGCCTGCCGGAGAGCAAGCAGATTGTTGATCTGGCTGATGATGATGTCGCTGTGAGTGGTGATCAGCACCTTCACCCCAGCGTTCACCAGCCGCACGATGCCGCGTGCCAGCTGCCGCTGCGCCGCCGGGTGCAGGTGAGACTCCGGCTCCTCTAGGATGAGCAGGTCGCCGGGACCAATTAGGTATTTAAGAAACAAGATCAGAGGCGCGAGTTCCGAGACCATCGCTGAGGAGTGTTCGAGGGTGAATTGCCCTGCTGCTGTTTTATAGGCGATTTCGGGATAAGGCAGGCCGGCGGATTCGTCCAAGTCAATCTCACCGTGCAAAACGTTGCTTTCAATGAAGTCAACAGCCTTGTCCCACTGATCGTTGAGATGATGAGACCTTAAGCTCTTATCCAAGCTGACCAGGTCGCTCAGAAACTCGGTTGTTACTCCCGGCAAAGCAGGGATGTTGACTCGCTGTGCCCCCAGCAAAGACGATTGCCTTATTATCGAGGAGGCAAGAATCTTCTGGCTTTGAACTATGCCAGTCCGGGATGCTGGCAGGAAATAACTGTTGTAAGGAAGCCCTTCAAAAACATTCTCTGCTGCAGAAATTCGTAGGGCAAAAAACAAGTCCGAATAGGCACTCGGGTAGTTCTCTTCATTTCGATGCTGCTCGTGTCCCCAGTATTCAATAAAGCTGGACCGAACAGAGGCACGGGAAATGTCAAATTCACAGTTGTCTTTGTTGTCGCCCGTCAGATTGATGGCCGCTTTCAGAAACGGTGAATTTCGCTCCAGTGCAAGGAAAAAATCCTCCGGCCGACTACCCCTGGTTACAATCTCCGAGTTTCCTTTGTATGACCGACGCACTTGGTGCATTACATCGCCGTGTAACCAACTTAGCACTTGATTGATGGACTTCGTTAGCTCAGACTCAACCCTCCTAGGAAAGGCTGTAATCGGGATGTCCTGATTCTGCCAATTACTGCCATCCTGCCCTTTGACCCACTCTCTGATAGATTCAACAACTTCGGCAGGAACCTCCCATTGGGTTCTGTAACCAGCTACCATCTCTCGCTGCTCAAGATGACGTGTATAAGGCACCTGAGGCCGACCCTCCACCGCCCGCATCACCGCGTACACCGCCGTCGCCATATACGACTTGCCCGTGTTGCTGGGGCCGACGAAGATCGTCAGGGGCTTCAGGTCGACTGATCCCTCTGCGATGGGGCCCAAGTTTTTCACCGAAATCGTCAGCATCTGCTTCCTGTTCAGGCGGCGAATAGGCTATTTGCAATGATGGATCATTCCCGCGGAGACACCGGCTTGCTGACGCCGCGGGAATGGTGAATGACGGTCGAGGCTAGTCAGGTATCTCCTTGTCCATGCCCTCGCCCAGCTCGACATCGAACGCGGTGAGCACCTGGGCCACCAGCAGGTAGTGGCCCGCCAGCACGGTGAAGTGCAGCGTGTCCTTCTCGCCGAACCGGTCGGTCATTGCCTTGAACGTGGCGTCGCTGACCTTGTGATTGCGCAGCAGCTCGTGGACATAGTTCACCAGCAGCGCCTCGTCGCCCTCCAGTCCCGCCGGAGCGGTGCCGTTGGCGATGGCCGAGATGGTCGACTCCGACACCCCGGCCTGCCGCGCCAGGCGGGCATGGGCCGAAAACTCGTACTGCTGCTTCATCTCGCGGGCTGTGGCGATGATCAGCGTCTCTTTCAGTCCCTCCGGCTGCTCGAACTCGAAGCGCACGAAGGCGCCGGTGTCGGCGACGCGGGCCGCCAGCTTGGGGCTGTTCAGCAGTACGCCGAAGGGTCCGCGCACACTGCCGCGAGTGCCGACAATGGCGTCGTGATACTGCTGGTCCTCTTCCGAAAGCTGGTCGCGGGTTACTGGGGCAATTCGTGGCATGTTAACTTCCTCCTTTTATTAAAGCAGAGAGCACAGAAGCGGCCTCTGCCCAGCCGTATCTGTGCTCCCCCATTTTCGTATTTCCCTACTTAACGGGAACGGGGACGCCGGCGATGTTGGTCTGCACCGAGCCCACGTGGTTGCGGCTGGTGAAATAGAGTGTCTTCCAGTCGGCGCCGCCGAAGCACAGGTTGGTGGTGGCCGGTGCTCCATGCACCACGCAGCCCAGCTTCTTGCCCGAAGCGTCCATCACCCACAGTCCACCCGAACCGCCGCAGTACAGGTTGCCCTCCACATCCACCTTCATGCCATCGGGCACGCCCGGCTCCGGGCCGGTCAGGTCCACGATAACCCGGTCCGTGTGCCGTGCCAGCGACCCGTTGGGGTTAACGTCGAAGGCGCGGATGTGCCCCCTGCGTGAGTCGTTGATGTACAGCACGCTCTCGTCTGGCGAGAAGGCCAGGCCGTTGGGCAGCACGAAGTCGTCCACCAGCAGCGTGATGCTGCCCAGGTCGGGAGTGACCCGGAACACGCCGGAATACTGCAGGTCGAACTGCCCCGGCGCATTTGGGTGGCTCCACGGGTCGGAGAAGTAGATGCACCCGTCGGACTTCACCACCACATCGTTGGGCCGGTTCAGGGGACGCCCCTGGAAGCTGGCCGCGACCACGGTGATGCTGCCGTCGGGCTCCGTGCGCGTGACCCGGCGGCTGTCGTGCTCGCACGCGATCAGCCTGCCCTGAAGGTCGCGGGTCAGGCCGTTGGACCGGTTCGTCGGCTCGTGGTCAACGCTGGCGCCCTGTCCAGGCACGTACTTGATGCGCCGGTTGTTGTGGATGTCGCTGAACAGCAGGTATCCGCCGTCGGACCACCACACCGGCCCCTCGGCCGGGCCGTTGTCGCCGCCGTAATCGTCCGGCGTGTGACGCGCGATCTCGGCGTTGGCGGAAATGATATTCGCAAACTCCGGGGCAAGCTGCTGTAGAGGCATGGTCCCCTCCTTGTATTCATTCGGTTGAACATCCGCATTATAGCGGAACGGGAAATCGCTGATTCCTGGGCAACGATTTTCCTTAATAAGCAAGGGCTGCCCCGACTCACATCATCTACATGGCTATCCACCATCAACAGGCTTGGCCCTGCGAATGTCGGGATGAGTAAGGGCGGAGTCCTTTGCCCAAATAGCTGTCAGTGGGTCTTGCCAAGCCTCATGACGCGTCTTCACCATTGAATGCATAGGAACTGAAAGTCCGCTGAGCCAATATCGTGTCCGGCCTACAAAGTGGAGCAATGGCGAATTATCTGTCCTTTACCCCGGCGCCTTCAGCCCCGCTACCCCGATGACATTTCACACGATGACCTTTCAAAGGAAGTGGTTTGCCAGCTTGCGATCCGTAATTCCCGCGCAGGCGGGAATCCAAACCCCCGTCTACCCTCGCACCAGGAACCGAAGGAGGCACTGCCACTCCCATCTCCACCGCCATTCAGGCCAATTTTGTGTGCTGAGAAATAAGACGCGATTGCCCTGTGAAACCTCGTCCTTGCCAACCCCACCAAGACCAGATAACATAGAATTCTGATTTAGAACATATATGCGACAACAAGGCAGAGTCCCCATCGACGCGACACCTGCCACCGCCTCTTACCCGCTCCCTCTCACAGGGCCAAAATGAGCGGAAATGAGCGGAAATGAGCGGAAATGAGCGGAATGAGCAGAAAAAACGAAAAATTGCGACCCGTCAACAGGAGCAACCATGTCATTCAGCCGCATCCGCAACCGCATCGAGTCCCTCGAGCGCAAGCTCGCGCTGCCCCTCGCTGTCGTAAGGCTCCGGCCTCTGGTCGAGGAGTTCTGCTGGCAGTGGCAAGTCGCCACCGTCGAGAGGAAGTCCCTCCCTGACCCTCATTCCCTCATTCAGAAGATCGCCAGCAAGGGCCTGTACTTCAGCACCTTTGGCTATCTGCGAGCCCACCTCGATCGCCAATGCGAAAAGGGTGAGGAGCCGGATCCGCAGGATATGATCAAGGTTCTCCTGCCCATGGCCTACAGGCGGAGCATCATCTGGAACGTCTTTTCCTCCGATGCCCCCGCCGAGTGCTGAACGCCGTCCGTTTCCGGCGGGCCTGGGCCTGCTGGCTGTCATAGACTGGGTGGTAGCCTTTGGTGCGGGCACCAGCGCCTCAACTCCCTGGAGATGGAAGATGGCGAGTGATCCAGACTTGCCGCAATTTTGCGGACTGAACATACCTGGGTATGAAGACGGGCCACTTCACACCGTTCTTCAATGGCAAGGTGCCGGTATTGTGCTCCCATGACAACACCTTAATCTGGTGTTGCACTTAGTTCGTGAATTTAGCGAATCTTGGATAGTGGGTGTTAATGCCCACTTCGCGTCTCGGTAAGCCGCTACCCCCAGCAGCGTTGCCCATTGGCGCCATCCTCAGCCAAATCAATCCTCCCATCACCTGAAGCGGAACGCTGCCGGCAACCTCCTCCGCTTGACGCGTTTGGGCCGGTAAACTATTCTGCCAGCGAAGGCAGAGTAGCTCGTAATGCCCCTGTGTATGCCGAAATCTATCCATCCCGAAGGAGGCCCTCTATGGCCCTCAGCCTGAACCACGTCCACCTCAAGTCGCCGGACCCGCAGGCCACGGCAAAGTTCTACATCGACACCCTCGGCGCGACCAAGGTCGCCGACGTGGGCGAAATAGGCGTCCGCCTGGACCTGCATGGACTGACCCTGAACGTCACCAAACACATCGAGACCCAGACCCGCGATCAGAAGTACGGCATTGAGCACATCGCCATCGACGCAGACGACATCCAGGGTATGATCGATATGCTCAAGGCCAACGGCGCCAAGATCCTCGAAGAGGCCAGTGTCTCCGGCGACCGCCGCGTCGTCTTCTTCGAAGGCCCCGACGGCGTGCAGCTGGAGTTCATCGAGAAAAAGTAGGTAAATGGAATTAGTTAAAGAGGGCAAAAATGATTTACGAGTCCCGCATTTACAAGGCCGTCCCCGGCAGGCTGCCCGACGTCAACGCCCGTTTCGCCAATCACACTGTTGGCTTCTTCAAGCAGTATGAGATCGGGATGATGGGCTTCTGGACCGACGAAATCGGTACCAGCAATCAGCTCACCTACATCCTGAACTTCGACAGCGTGACCGACCGCGCCGAGAAGTGGGCCGCCTTCCAGGCCGACAAGGCCTGGGCCGAAGTTCGCGCCGAGACCGAGTCCAGCGGCCCCATCGTGGCTCGGGTGCTCAACTCCCTGATGTCCCCCACGCCCTATTCGCCCGTGCCCAAGTTCAAGACAGCAGTGCAGGAACTCCGCATCTATGACGCCATGCCCGGCAAGCTGCCCGACCTGCACAACCGCTTCAAGAACCACACCATGGGTCTGTTCGAAAAGCACGGCATCGAGAACGTGGCCTACTGGACCGAGGACATTGGCACCAGCAACCGCCTCGTCTACATGCTGGGCTACCCCGATCTCGGCGCCCGCGAAAAGAGTTGGACCGCCTTCCAGAACGATCCCGACTGGCAGAAGGCCCGCGCCGCCTCCGAGGAAAACGGCTCGCTGGTCCGCGTGTCGACCCACTCAATCCTCCGTCCGACCCCCTACTCCCCGCGCTAGATACGGGTCGCTGAATTCCCGGGCAATCGCCCGGTAGCCAATTGAAGGGCAACCCCAGTGGTTGCCCTTTCCAACTCTCACTCGCTCCAAAGACGGTCGACAGGGGTTGAACTGAATGGACGTCCAGAAGCTGCGCGACGAGATCCCGGTCCTGAAAAACCTCACCTATATGAACACCGGCTGGTCCGGACCCCCGCCACGCAGCGCCGCCGAGGCCATGCAGGCTCGTGTGGCGCTGGAAGCGGAACAGGGGCCCACCACCCCTGGCGTCTATGAGAGCGGCCGCGAGATCCAGGAGGAGTCCCGCCGCGCCGCGCCCGCCTGCTTGGCGCGGACGTGGACGAAACGCTGGTCACCCGAAACACAACTGAGGGCCTGAATATCGTCCTCAGCGGCTTGGACTGGAAGGAAGGCGACGAGATCCTCACCTGCAACTTGGAGCACGGCTCAGTCCTGTCTCCCAGCTGGCATGTCGCCCACCGTTACGGCGGAAAGGTTCAGGTGGTCAATCTCGATCCCCACGACTCATACGACGCTATCCTCAGTAAGTTCGAGGCGGCCCTGACCCCGCGCACCCGGATGATCTTCGTCAGCCACCTGGAGTATTCCACCGGCTTGCGCATGCCCGCCGCCGAGCTGTGCCGCTTGGCGCACGGCAATGGCGCCGAGATCATGCTGGACGGAGCCCAGACTGGTGGCCACATCGCATTGGACGTCCACCGCGACGGCTTCGACTACTACTCCATCCCCGGCCAGAAGTGGGTGCTGGGCTACGAGGGCGTCGGCGCCCTGTACATCCGACGGGACCTCATCGACAGCGTGCACCCTGCCCACACCGGGGGGCGTGCCGTGATCCAAGAAGGCGAGCCGGGCGAACCCGGCAGCTACCGCCTCAATACCTCGAGCATGGACAAGTTCCTCGGAGGCTCCGGCAGCGTCCCGCTGCAGGCCGCTTTCGTTGAGGCCGCCCGCTTCATCGAGAGCATCGGCGTGGCGCAGATAGAGGCCCGCAACGTTTCACTGGCCGCCAGATTCAAGGCGCAGCTCGCGGAGATCTCTGCCGTCAATGTTCTCTCGCCTTCGGCAGACTCCGCGTCCGCCGGCCTCGTGGCATTCCAGGTTGCGGGGCAGTCCGCCGACTCGGTCGTGGCCCGCATCTGGCAGGACCACCGCATCGTCGTGCGGCAGGTCCATTACCCGAATCTGTCCGCGCTTCCCTCCACTTTTTCAATACCGAAGAGGAGGTGGACCGTCTGGCTGCTGCGGTGGCGGAGCTGGCCTAGCCCAGCGTCCCTGCCGGGTATTTCTCCAGCCACCACTGGGCTATTTCGTCCCGGCGCGCGAACCAGACGCCCGGCATTTGACGCGCATACTGCAGGAATCGCTCCACGGCTCGCGAGCGGGCCGGGCGCCCCGCGATCCGGCAATGAAGCCCGATCGACATCATCTTGGGGTGGGTCCGGCCCTCCTCGTACAGCACATCAAAGGTATCCTTCAGGTACTCGTAGAACGCGCCCACGCTGGAAAGCCCGCCCCGCCAGAACCGGGCGTCGTTGGTCTCCATGCTGTATGGCACCACCAGCCAGGGCATGTCGCCGCCGTCCGCGTCCTTGACCGTAGTGTAATAAGGCAGATCGTCATTCATCCCGATGCTGTCGTAGATAAACCCGCCGTGGTCCACCACCAGTTGGCGAGTATTGAGGCTGGGACCATAGCGAGTGAACCACCCCACAGAGCGCTCCCCCGTGGTGCGCTCCAGCGATTCAACGGTGCGGGCGATGGACTCCCGTTCCTGTTCCCGCTCCATCAGGTGGTACTCCTCCCAACGGTAACCGTGGCCGCAGACCTCGTGGCCCGCCGCAGGAACCTCCCGAGCCACCTCGGGGTTTCGCTCTAGGGCCAGGGCGCAGCAGTAGAAAGTGGACTTCACGTCGTACTGGCGGAACATGTCCATCAGCCGCCAGACTCCGACGCGGCTGCCATACTCGAAGAACGACTCGTTGTTCAGGTCGCGGTCGCCCGCTGGCACCGGCGACGGCACCTCGTTGTTGGTCTCGTGGTGCGGGTCGCCGTCCAGGGTGCTGCGCTCCGCACCCTCCTCGTAGTTCACCACCAGCGACACCGCTATTCGCGCCCCGCCGGGCCATTCGATCCTCGGCGTGTTCCTGCCGTAACCGATCAAATCTCGCTGCATCGTGTTCCTCCGGGACCAGAATTCCACGCAGTGCGCACTCGGCCTGCGCACAGAAATGACAGTGCTTCTCCTATAATACTGAAAATCCCCGCGACGTCTGTCGCTCAGTGGTGAACAATATGGCCATCGCCGCCGATATGGTGTATCAACTCAAGTCCGTCGCCGACCCTGCGCTTTCGCCCGACGGAACGCGAATCGTCTACACCCAGTCCTGGGTGCAGGGAACGGGGTCCACCTCCGAGGCGCGATCCCGCCTGATGATGGCCAATTTGGCCTTGAGAGATTCCTCTGACCACCGGGTGGGAACGGCTTGGGAATATACTCAGGGCTACGTCGACGGTGGCCCGCGATTTTCGCCCGACGGAACTCTGCTGGCCTTTTTGCGGGCGAGCGAATCTGGGCTCCCGCGTCAGGTCTGGGTGATGGGCGCAGGCGGCGGCGAAGCTCGGCAGGTGACTATGGCTCCCAAGGGGGTTTTCGATTTTGCGTGGTCCCCAGATAGTGGACGCATAGTTTACTGTGCCGACACCGAGCCAGCGGCGGGAGCGGCGGCGGGCAGCCAGGCCGACGGACCACGTGTCGTGGAGGTCAATCGCATTCGCTTTCGACACGACCTGCAGGGCTGGCGGGGCGACGCCCACTATCATCTGTTCGTCGCGGATTTGCACTCAGGCGAGGTTGCCCAGATCACACGGGGTGACTGGGACGACTTTGGCCCCGTATGGTCGCCCGATGGAACGCGAATCGCCTTCGTTTCTGACCGACGCGGCGATCGGGATTACCGTGCCCTGACCGAGGCCTACGTGGTAGAAGCCGATGGCGGAGTGGCCGAATGCTGGTCCGGTGGCTTGAGCAGCGTTGGCGCCGTGTCCTGGTCTCCCGACTCACGGCAACTGGTGGCGGTTGCTTCCGATGATCCTGCGGGAATGGTCCTGTGGCAGGGTTGGCTGTACATTCTCGACGCGGATAACCAACCACGTCGCATTAGCGACGACTCGCAGCGGCCCGTGCTGGGCGGCGGGCCTGGCGCAGCCCGTCAGTCAGACATCCGCTGGACAGATGATGACCGCATCGTTTTCCTTGGAGAGCGCCACGGTGAGAGCCATGTATACCAGGCGTCTGCCCAGGAACAACCGCCCCACCAATTGTGGGGCGGAGGTCGTCTGATTGGAGGCCTGTCCCTCTGTGCGAACGCGCGGCTGGCGGCGGTGGCGTCTAGCACTCCAACCTCTCCTTCGCAGGTCCACGTCGTGGACCTCTCAACAGGAGATACGACAATCGTAGCCGAACCCAACGCCAGTTTTCTCAAGAGGCAACCCGCTGCGTCTCTGGAAAAGTTCTGCATCGAACGCGCCGGTTTCAACATCGAATGCCGCCTGTGGTTTCCACCAATGTTCGACCCTGCAGGTAGCTATCCACTGGTTCTCGACATTCACGGGGGGCCAAACGGCGCCTTTTACGATTCGTTCGTGAACTGGCAGCAGGTTCTGGCCGGCTCCGGATATTTAGTGCTGGCCGTAAACCCCCGAGGGTCGTCCACCTATGGCGACGAATTCATGCGGGCAGTTCTGGACGACTGGGGAGGCGAGGACTACCTCGATCTGATAGCTGCCTTGGAGCAAGTGTGCCAGCGCGACTATGTTGACAACGACCGCCTCGGCATCCATGGCTACAGTTACGGCGGATTCATGACCAGTTGGGCCATCGGTCACACAAAGCGATTCGCCGCCGCGGTTATCGGTGCTCCATGCACCAACCTGTACACGATGTACGGCACCTCCGACATCGGCGTCAGCTTCGGAGAGCCGCAGTGGGGCGGCTCCGTGATGGACACGCCGGAGAAGCTGCTGGCCCGCTCGCCCATTTCCTACGCTAGGGAGGTCACTACGCCGGCACTGCTGTTGCATGGGGAGGCCGATGCGCGCTGCCCCGTGGCCCAGAGCGAGGAGTACTTCGTGGCCCTGAAGCGCCTTGGCAAGACAGTTGAATTCGTGCGATTCCCCAACAGCAACCATCAGTTTCCCCGCACCGGCCATCCGCGGATGCGCGAAGAATACCTGTCTCGCATGCTCAACTGGTTCGATGATTGGTTGGCGTGATGCCTGAAATCGATGGATGAATCACCATACTCGGTCAAATGCGGATTTACCGCAACGAATTAAGTATGGAGCTTTATTGAATCAGGCGACGTCTAGAGTTGACTCAATCTGAAAGGGTAATGTAGCATTCCCAGAATCTCAGCCTCAGGCTGGCCAGACTGATGGCTTCACGGTACGCAAGTTAGGGAGGAATTCACAATATGCCTGCAAGAGTCGGACTCACCTTGATTCCTGGTGATGGTTCTCGCCATCAGCCTGTCCATGCTGGCAGCCTGTGGCTCCTCTGCGACTGAGGAACCCCCAGCGGAACCTACCTCGGCGCCGGAAGCGACCTCCGCGCCGTCTGGTTCTTCATCCTCTGCGGCGCCCACTGCAGCTCCGCAGGCGTCAACCGGTTCCTCAAGCGGTGGGGACACGCCCACTCCGACACCCTATGCCTTTGCTGCTCGGGCGATTATTGAGGAGTTGGACCAGAAATACCCCTGGCCGCCACAGGCCCCGCCGTGGCCCCCCCGCCGCGGAGGGGTTGCACACCTGACTATGAGCCCCATTCCTGATCTGGACCCAAACAGGGCCCGTAACAACGAGAATCTGGCCCAGTATGACGCCCTGCTGGAGTGGGAATCTACCTGGTGGTTCCCCGAAGTGCATACCACCCCCACCATCAGGCCTAACATCGTCTCAAGCTGGGAGGCAGTGGACCTCGACAGTTGGGACTTCCACATCGATCCCCGATGCCAAATTCCACGACATCGAGCCGATGAACGGCAGGTCAGTTACTGCTGAGGACGTCAAGTTCTCCTTTGACCTGCTCAGCCTGGTGCCCCAGTACACCGCGACCGCTTCCGTGGAGAGCGTCGAAGTCATAGATGACGACACCGCACGTTTCCACCTGAAGCAGGCGCTGGCCAACTTCCCGCCGCTGTACACCAACGGCTCGACACCGCCTGTCGTCGCCAGGGAAGCCCACGAGATGGAGGGCGGGCTGCACGAGAACCCGGGCGGAACCGGCGCCTTCCTGCTCAAGGAATTCTCTGCCGGTGAGGGCATGCTGTTCACCGCTACCGATGACTATCATCTGGATCTGATGGGTGAGCCGCTGCCGTTCCTGGATGCTGTCCGATATGTATTCACCCGTGACCCGGCAACCCAGGTTGCCCTGTACCGGGCGGAACAGATCGACCTCTTGCGTATCAGTTCTTTCGATATTCTGGATCAGGTCCTTAAGTCTGTGCCCGACTCGCAGCTATACCGTATTCCCTCCTTCGGCTGGGGCGATCACGGCGTATTCCTGAATCTGGCTAAAGAGCCGTTCAATGACGTCAACGTGCGACGTGCCATGTCAATGGCAATCAACCGCAACGTGATCGCCAACGTCATTAATGCCGGCGACGCCACTCCCTATGGACCGATTCCCTGGGCCGTGGGCGGATTCACAGAGATCTCTGACTACAACGTGGACAACCTTGGCGAGTGGTACCAATACAACCCGGACAGGGCCAAGCAGCTCTTGGCCGACGCTGGTTACGGTGACGGATTCGAGGTTGAAATCGAATGGGGCGAACTCTCCGGATTTACCTTCGGCGACACGGCCGTTCTGCTGGAGAGAATGTGGGAAGACATAGGGTTGGACGTGACCATCAAGCAGAGCGAATATGCGACGTGGTGGTCCAAGACCAAGTGTGGGGAGCCGATGAATGACTCCCTGATCGGCCTGAGCCCCTACGGTTCCGGCCCCACGGCCTATGACTGGCTGTACCTGCCCTATCATTCCAGTTCCAGCGTGAACTGCCCGCACATCCAGGACGATAACATCGATACTTTGTTGGATGAATGGATCGGCGCAGACGAGGCTCGCCAGCTGGAAATCCAGTCGGAATTGTGGGACTACCTGACCGACCAGGTCTACCGTCTGACCACCATCGTCCCGCCGCACTACCGTCTGACCCAGTCGTACATGCATGCGGGCGACAACCCCTACTGTTGGTTCACCGGTTACTGCTCCTACGAGGTCAAGTCGGCTTGGCTGACCGACGGCGCTCCGGAACGCTCCTTCGACAAGTTCGCCGAGTAGCGACAGCAACTGTACAAGCAGACAAGCGCACGGCCGGACATCCCTTTCAAAGAGGGTGTCGGGCCGTGTGTGCACTGTGCCTCGAGAAGCCTCGGAAGCTTGCATGCCGGTCCCTTTGGTGGCTGTAGCCGTTCACCCGCAGCCCGGAAATCTCTCTACCCTGACCTTTTAGGCCCCTGACTCATATGCGGTATTACATCCTGCGAAGAGTTCTACTGGCTTTCTTGGTGCTCTGGCTGGTGCACCTGATGGTGTTCTCCATGGTCCGACTGTTCCCGGGCGATGTGGTGATGATGCGACTTGCCCAGGACGCGACCATGACCGAGGAGTCGTACGAAAGGGCGAGACAGGAGTTGGGGATCGACCGTCCTTTCCTGGTCCAGTACGGGGATACCATGGGAGGTCTGCTTCGGGGAGACTTGGGCGACTCGTTGCTCAGCGGTAGACCGGTCAAGGATGAGTTGGGCGACAGGGTATGGCTAACCCTGCACTTGGCCATCATGTCTCTGATCATCGCACTGTTGATAGCTATTCCCATCGGTATTGTTTCCGCCATTCGCCAGGACACGTTTGCTGACTACGGCGGCAGGATGTTCTCCATACTCGGACTGTCGCTGCCGGACTTCTGGACCGGGGTGGTGGCCATCCTGGTACTTTCCCTTTGGTTCCACTGGCTTCCGCCGCGGGGTTTCGAGGAAATCTGGATCGATCCAATCAAGGTCATCCAGCAGTTGGGTATTCCGGCCCTCATCATCGGGTTCCGGTTCTCAGCCATCATCATGCGCATGACCCGCTCCTCCATGCTGGAGGTGCTGCGCGAGGATTACATCCGCACGGCGTGGTCCAAGGGTTTGTCCGAGCAGCGAGTCATTATCGGCCACGCGCTCAAGAACTCCTTCATCCCGGTCATCACCCTGGTGGGGCAGCAGTTCTCCATCCTTCTGGGCGGTACTGTCATCATCGAGACTATCTTCCTGCTGCCGGGTGTGGGCAACATGACCCTGGATGCGGTGATCTTCCGTGACTACACGCTGGTGCAGGGCGCCGTCATCTTCTTCGGCGGAATCATGGTGCTCATGAATCTACTTGTCGACATATCCTACGCGTGGTTCGACCCACGGATACGCTATGGCTAGAGATACGGACCCCGGCCAGCTGACCACCGCGCCCTCCAGCCCGCTGGAGGCGGTTTTAATCGGGATGAGGCGCCAGGCTGTGACGCTGAGACGGTTCGCCGTCTCCAAACCAATGGGTGCCGCGGGTGCCTTCATCGTTGTGATTATCGTTCTGGCGGCGATTTTCGCGCCGGTGGTCTCTCCGTATGATCCCTACGCATCCAACCTTGACACAGACGGCCTGCCGGTCCGGCTGGTGGGGCCGACTGCGTCCTTCCCGCTGGGAACCGACGCCATCGGCCGGGACGTATTCAGCCGGATCATTTACGGCGCTCGCATATCGCTGGTCGTGGGCCTTGGCGCGGTCGCTCTGGGTACCCTTTTCGGCACGGTAGTCGGGCTGGTATCCGGTTACTTCGTTGGCAAGGTCGACCAGGTGCTGCAACGGGTGGTTGACACCCTGATGGCCATACCGGCGATTGTGCTGGCCCTAGCGGTCATCACCATGCTGCAGCCGGGGCTCTTCAACATTATCCTGGTGATCGCCATCGTGATTGCGCCCGGTACGTCCCGCGTGGTGCGGGGCACTGTCCTGGCCATCAAGGAGAACGTCTACATCGAGGCCGCCCGCTCCATCGGGGCCGGCAGCGGGCGCATCGTGTTCCGGCACATTCTACCCAACGTGGTCGCGCCGATTATCGTCATTGCATCCATCTGGGTTGGCAACGCCATCGTGATCGAAGCGGCTCTGAGCTACCTGGGCCTCGGCACGCCGCCGCCAACGCCGTCGTGGGGCGGCATGCTGGCGCTGGAGGGCCGCCGCCACCTCGAGAACGCCCCGTGGCTGGCCCTCGCTCCTGGTGCGGCCATCAGCGTCGCAGTGCTGGCCGTGAACATGCTGGGAGACGCCCTCCGCGACGTCCTCGATCCCCGCCTCCGCAACCGGTAAAGGCTGCGCTTTCCCCTCCCAGAGCTCCGGTGGCTTACGCCCTCCTTGTAGCTTGGCGCCTGCGACACCTGCTAATTTCGGCATCACCCACACACAAGCTGGCACTGGTTGCTGACCGGTTGTCTTTAATTAGGCATCTCATTTACGACAATCGGACTGTTTGGTGCAATCATAATCCTTAAACAATCGATTATATTAGATATACAGCAATTTGATTGACTATTCAGGAGGGGTCATTTAGCATTCCTGAAATTCGACCTGCTGCCGTTTCGCTTCGGTGGTCAGGAAGCGGAGGTATCCACTCAATGTTGGGCAAACTCAGGTTTCATATCATACTGACTATTGGGGCCATCTTGGCCTTGACCGTGCTGGCCGCGTGCGGGGGCGATGAAAGGCAGTCCACGGGCGGGACGCCCATAGGTCCTACTAACACACCGATAGTTGCCGATCCCACGGCAATCTCGGCGCCGGCTCCAACAGACGCCCCGGCCGCGGTAGCTGACGATGCCACCGAGGCTCCATCCGCGGGAGGGGCGGCGCCTGCCGCCGGGGTTGGCATGTTCCCGTCGCCTCCTTTTGGCTTGCTGGCAGCCCCAGAAGGTAGCCCGCAGTATGGTGGTATTTTGCGGTTCGGGTTCGTGGTCAAACCGGCCCACTTCGACGTACACCAGTCCGGTACTGCTTTGAACAATAATACTCAGGGGCCGATGTACGACAACTTGCTTAGGCTTCATCCATTGAGCGCGGGTCGCGAGGTCATTCCGGATTTGGCCCACTCATGGGACATTTCCGAAGATGGATTGGTCTACACGTTCTACTTGAGAGAGGGCGTAAAGTTCCATGACGGCGCGGACTTAACCTCTGAGGATGTGAAAGCAACCTTTGACCGGATCATTGATCCGCCGGATGGCGTGGTGATCCCTCGCGAGTCAGTTTTTGGAGCGGCGGCGGTATCTGAAATCCGAGCCGTGGACCCGCTGACGGTTGAGTTCGTTCTCTCCGAGCCACGCCCCGATGCGTTAGTGTTGAATGCCATCGCCAGTGGCTGGAACATCATCGTCCGGAAACAGACCTTGGAAGAAAATGACTACAACCTCAAACGCGTGAAGGATTACCCTGGCACCGGTCCCTTCATGTTCGATGAATTCAGTGACCAAGAATTCCTGAAGATGACGAAGAACCCGAACTATTGGAATCCCGATCTGCCTTACCTGGATGGTATTCACATTTTGCATCTGAACGCCTGGGTGCCTGAGATGGGCGCGGCGCTGCTGGCCGGCCGGGTTGACTATGCCCGCGCCATTGAGCCCGGCAGCTTCAAGAAAGCCATCGAGCACCCGGAGATCGAGACTGCCCAGTATCCGCAGCACGTGATCTTCGCGATGTGGATGAACAATGCCAAGGAACCCATGAACGATGCCAGGGTGCGGCGGGCTATGCATTTGGTGCTGGACCGTGAGGCCATCAAGCAGGCCACGAAGGACACCTTCCCGGCGGCGTTCGGTGCAGGCTTCACCTTCCGGTTCAGCCCGCACGCGACACCCGAGGAGGAGCTGCTGCAAAGGCCGGGTTACCGCTATCCCAAGGACGAGGACATTGCCGAAGCGCAGCGGTTGCTAACCGAAGCAGGATATCCCAATGGCGAAGGTATCCCGGAGCTGGACTTCCTCGTAAGACAGATTGCTCACCTGGACCTCCAGGCTCCGGCAATCCAGGAAATGCTGCGGGTTCACCTAAACATCAAGGCCAATATCCGCTCGATTCACATCTCTCAGTGGTTTGAGGATGCCGAGAAGGGCAACTTCGACATCACCCTGTCGGCAGTAGTGCTGGCGATCAGGGACCCGTCCGACTACTACCGGGCCTGGTACGGCAAGGACGGTCCGCAGAACTACTCCCTGTGGGAGAACGATGAATTTGAGGCAATGGTGGATGAGATCGACCGGGAGCTCGATGCCGTCAAGCGTCTGCAGCTGATCCGCGAGGCGGAGCTGTTGATGGAGCGGGAAGTGCCTCTGGCTCCGGTGGCATGGGAGGAGATCACCGACGGCTGGTGGAACTACGTGAAGGGTATCGATCCCCCTCACAACGTCGGTATCTACGATGTGATCCGCTGGGATACCGCCTGGCTGGACAATCCCAAGAACCGGTAACGACAACACAGAGCCTCGATATCCAGTGTTGCTGCGGGGCAAGACATCCCAATGAATATGGAGATAGCTCGGCCCTCCCAAGCGGCTCCTCTTGTCTGATGATCTACTCATGTTCCGTGAGGTCCCTCCTGGCGCCGATACGTAGGTACCAGAGTATTGTTGGCGATCCCGACAATCTTCCTCATCACAATACTGATCTTTCTGGCTATGAACGTTCTGCCCGGAGACCCGCTGGTGGCCATGTTCGGCTTTGAGGGTTTTGCCAAGCTGAGCCCGCACGACCGCCAGAGGATCATGGAGCAGCTCGGCTTCGCTGACCCGCTGTGGAAGCAGTACGCCCACTGGATGCAGGACATCTTTATGGGGAACCTGGGCGAGTCGTTCTTCAAGGGCGAGCCCGTGATGCAGAAGATCACCCGACACGGGCCTCTGACTGCGGAGATTGCCATACTCTCGGTCATCATTTCCTGGGCGGTCGGGCTTCCGGTGGGCGCGATCGGAGCAATGAAGCGAAAAAACGAAAAACAAAAAAAAAAAAAAAAACAAGAAAAACGAAACAAAAAAAAAAAAAAAAAAGCGCAACACAAGCGGCTGGACTATGCCGGGCGGCTCTTCACCACGCTGTTCCTTGCGGTGCCCAGCTTCTGGCTCGGATTGCTGGTCGTGCTGGCCTTGCTGTTGTTGTTCGACTGGAAAGCGCCTATCCAGGTGGTCCACATCTGGGATAACCCCAGGGAGAACCTGGAAATCGTCTGGGGGGACCGGCCATAGTGCTGGGTATGGCTCAAGCAGCATATATCTCCCGGTTGGCCCGCTCGACTTTCCTCGAGGTGATGTACGAGGACTACATCCGGACGGCGCGGGCCAAGGGGTTGAAGGAGAGGGTGATCCTGTACCGGCACACCTTCCGCAACGCGATACTGCCGCTGGTCACCCTGTCCGGCATCCTGCTGGGGTTCGCACTGGCCGGGTCGGTGGTAATCGAGTCGGTCTTCGGAGTCAAGGGACTGGGCGCAGTCCTCATCGGGGCCATCAGCGAACGGGACCACATCGTGATTCAGAACCTGGTTCTGTTCTATGGCTGATTATTTCATAGTGCGAAGTGCTAGTCGACCTATCCTACGGGTTGTGGCTTGTGACCCAGGATTCGATAGGTTAGTCTTGGAACAAAAGAGAAGCGCTGCCCCGTCTTCAAGAACAGAGTTGGCCAGAGAGATACCTCCGCCCCATAGCGATCGATTACCAAGCAGAGTCCGTCGGGGCGCAAGAAGAGCAGGGCAACCGAAATGTCAGTGGGAATACAAGAGGGGGAATAGCTATAGCGCGCAGCCTTATAATGACAAATGGCTGGCATGGGTCTGTTGTTCCTGGTGTCGTGGTGCTCATGGTGCGGCATTGCACCGATTGTGTCCCCCTATTCATCCCTGACTGCGGATTTCACCGCGATGACAGTATCCCCGACAGTGGCTCATCCCCTGGGCACAGACCCTACTGGGAGTCGGTTACGGTGGAACCGCGGACACGTTGAGCCGGATCATCTACGGGGAGCCGGGGGGTACACGCTGATTGTGGGGGGGGGGGGGCCCCCCCCCTTTGGGGCC